TCTTTCCTGCTTATGCAGGGGGTCGGACTCGATGATCTATTGAGGTCCCTTCCGACCCTAACACCTATGAATCTATGAATCTATACTCTTGTGTCTCAGGAACAGAAACCGTTCTTTGGGTCTCTGGAGGAACCTCTGAAGCAGTACCCATATCCAAAGCAGTTTCCTCCTCATCATCATCTGTTCTACTCTGTAGAATCAGAGGGGAGACTGGGGTCATGATCAGGTTCACCTCTTTTTGGGTGTCCCTCTCATCCAGCACCATGGAGCAGTCCCCCCACTGCTCTGACATGCTCACAGTTTCCCTCTCAGGACACTCTGAGGTTCCTTCCTTAGGTGTGCTCTCCAGGACAATGCCAATCCCAAACAACCAAAAACAGGAAGCCTCACCTGCATCTTTGGAGAGAATGACAGGCAGCTGGTCATAGAAAGGAACAATTGTGAGCCCTGCCCCAGAATGAATTCTCATCCTTGGTCCGATGAAACGCACATCTCAGGGCTTTGATCTTCCTCCAGCAAACTTGACAGGGCTGTTATATAGACATGTCTTGAATTAAACTTTTTGAAAATTCCACATACTCATAACTGAAGGTGTCAACTGTGTCTCAGAACTGGCAGTCAGGGCAATGTGATCAAGCACCATTTACAAACAAAGCAATGGTGATAGGCATAGCCTGGCCCAAATCGGTTCCCATTGTCTATTCAGATAGTTCAAGAATGTCCCATAATGTCCCAATGACAATCACACCCAAGTGTCTGTACCTGGCTGCTCTTCCTACAGGCCAAACTGCCCCTAGCCTCCCTGTACCATCAAATCAAGGACACTGTGTCCTTGACTGGCAGAACCACAACTTTTTTCTCAATGAATGAAAGAAACAATGGAATTATATCTGGGGGCAGTGATGGGGGTGCAGAACTTGTTCTAACAGGTTAGAACAGGGGAGGAGAGTGGGGCACAGGAGGCTACAATGCTCATCCAGTACTATGAATGCAGCTTGTCTGCTAATGAAGCCAAATGCTGAAACCGTGTGGGGGTCAAGTATGGAGGGACATTTTTTGGGAGAGAAGCTGATGGTTGTAGCACCTTGATGCCTGCTGTAGTTCCTTGAGATGTGTTAATGGTAGCTATTGAGACATAGCACTGTCTATCACACCTCCCTGTTTCAAACCTTGGCTAGTGCAGGGGAGGGCTCTTTTCTGGGGATATGTTGTTTTTAAACAAGGATTCTTGCAGGCCCAGGCTCTTTTCTGGGGAGACATACTTCCTTCAAAGCTAGGCTAGTGCAGGGCAAGGCTGTTTCCTTAGGAGATGTTTCTTTCAAAACAGTGCTGTAGCAGGGCAGGGCTGTTTTCTGGGGAGATGCTTCTTTCAAAGGACAATAACCCCAGAATGAGTAGGCATGCCCAAGAACTATCTACCCTTTTTTGGGCAGATACTTCTTGGGTGTGCCTATTCATTGATCCAGTAAAAGCCAGTATCATGCACCCAGGGTGCACAAACGGGTTCCAGGGGTCATCTTAAACCCCACATTTGAGTTCAAAGCGGATAGGCAGTACATCATCTTCCCCACACCCACCCACCATGGTAAAAGGTGTCAACGCCCAGCATATGGATACCTCACCGGGGTTATGATTGATATGCAGATAGGAGGTCACTTGCAATGCTAATTAACTGTATTCAACTCACATTACTACTCAGAGCCCCCCCACACCTCCACCCGACTGTGAACCTTGGTGATGGTGCTATGTGCTGAGAAGCGACCCTGCTGCATACGTGCAAACAACTTGGCTTCGTGGAATACAGACGGGATGAGTGAGGAGGACCAAATGGAGATTCCAGATTAAATGTGTGAGGTCATGGACATGAAGAATGATGACAAAATGAGTGAGGAGGCCAAAATAAAGAATCTGAATGAAATGGGTGAGGATGATAATGTTGTTAAATATTCTGCTGCTGGCCTTGGACTTACTGCATAAAATGGAGCCACAGATAATGATGGCAGCATATGCTATGTTCCCACTACAAAGTGCTTTGCATGTAGACATGCTTCACAAAAAAAGGCACCTAGATGTGCGGTGGAGTGGGATAGCCGAGAGGCAGGCACAGAAATGGATGCTGATAGGGCTCTGTGGATCACCCTCAGGAACAGCAACCGCAGGGTCTGGGTCCATGTGAGCAGCTCTGACTGGCGGGAGCAAATCATACAAATCACTTGGAATGATCAACAGTGGCTCAAGATGTTCCAAATGACCAGGGAGACTTTTAATCACAACATTTTGATGCTGGAGGTCAGACAAGATGGTGGCCATGGCCATCATGAAACTGGCCACCCAGTCCAACCTCCACTACATCGTGAACCAGTTTGGTGTGGCTCCCTGCACAGCCAGGCTGGCGACTTGCAAGGTATGCCAGCTGCTGCACAACATCACAGTGAACAACTTTATTTTCCTTGGTATGCCCCAGGAAGTTCTTGATGACTTCAGTACCATGGGGTTACCTAATTGCAGGGGGGCTTTAGAAAGCACACACATCCCTGTGCAATCTCCCTTGGGGGAGGACCGGTCATTCACAAACAGGAAGGGGATGATGCACACGGCTTGGTGTGGGGGTCTCTGCCACAGGATGCCTGGTGGAGACCAGAGCCTAGGGTGGTACAAGTGGCAGGGCACCTTTTTTGGCAGGTGGGGGAAGTTGAAATGTCCCCTCTCCCTCCAGTTGGGTTTGGGGGTGGATGGTGTGGGGTTGTGATGACCATGGGTTATTGTGGGGATCCCTCACTTGGGGGGTAAGACAAGACCATTAAGGGGGTATAGCAGGAGTGGAAGGGGATATGGGAGGGGTGGGAGTTCACATGGTTTTGGGGTGTCTGTGGTTTGGCAGAGGGGTGTTAAGGAGAGGGGTTTCGGGAGTGAGGAGGGAGGGGATTAGTGGTGTATTACTGGTTTACATGTGCCCCCTGCTGTAATTCAGTAGGGTAGACAGCAGCTGGGTAAATTGGTATGCAGCTCCCCCTGCTGGAATTTACAGGGAATTGCACACTGGACTTAAGTTATTCAGAAGCCTAGTATGTGGAAACACGAACGCGATACTCTAAAACAAAAAATGTAAAATGTTATAGACCTATTTAATTTAATGAGGATTAAATCCTGTGATGTGTACAGGAGCCCAAGGGGTCCATGCCCTACACATGCTAAGGGAGGTCTCTGATACCCATTGCTGAGCAGTTCTGATCCATGCCAGTAGAGGGCAGCCACAACACAGACACAAGCCACAAGTTTATTGAAATGGAGGGAATTTAATTCCTGAGATTATGCCAAAACTGTCTTCTCATTCCACATTGCTCTGCCCCATCACAGCACAATTTACTCTGGCACACAGATCAGAGCCTGGCACTGGAATGGAAGCCAGTTTAAATCCAGCAGGTATAGGACAAATCACTGGAGGTTGGTGGCCCAGCTTCTGCAGTTGTCCAGGTCCCACAGAAATCAGAAAAAGGAGTGGAAATGTGTTCTGCTTGGCAATGTAGAAATCTCAGAATTAGGGGCACAGGAATAAGCCTCTGTCACTAATAGCACCAGTACAGTGAGCAGAGTGGAATGGCTGAGATGAAGACTCAAATGTGGGAGACCTCCATGGTAACCCAAAAAAACTCCACACCAACAGATGAGGAGGAGAAATGGATCCAGGCTCACTGCATGGCACTAGTGACCCCTCATCCTCAAGGACAATAGGCCTTGCCCCTGCAGAAAACCTCAGAAAACTGAAAGGCCAGGAATGAGAATGTGATCTCATATGTAGCAAAGATACCTTCTAATCCCCTTTGCAGTCCAGCCAACCCTGCCTGCTGGAACAAGCCCTGATTATGCCCTCAGTGAGTGGCTAGTATCCCCACCACTGGCTGAATGTAAGCAATAGTGGCTGTGTGGCAAAGTGCAGTAGGAGGTCACTTGAGGGACTTCTCACAGATCCATTGCATAGAAACTGAACAGCTGGAGGCTTGAAAGACACCATTCATCAGGACTCCACAGTGCTGCACAGGGCTGTTGGATATGACCCTAAAAAAAGATACACACAGGAGAAGTAGGGAGAGATTCACAATCAGAGGTAATTAAAAATCTCTCTCTCTCTCTCTCTCTCTCTCTCTGCTTATGATGGGAAGGAAAGAAAGAAAGCAAATAGCTTCTATTCAGCATCTGGTATGGAATCAGAAATGGGCATGAAGTGAAACTCTGTCATTAGTATAATCCCCTGTGGCCCCATTATCATTGTAAAAGTCATGTTTATGCTAGACCAGGCACCACTGTGTACAGCTTGACCTGCATGTGTACTCACATCAATGGCATCTGCGTCCCATTAGAGTGGCAGAGACAGGACAGCCTTGGTGGGCAACAGTTTACATCTGCTGAAAGGTCATAGGGTAGAGAATTGGATTCAAAGAGGGAAACCAGCCATGTGGTAGAGACTGGGGGTCAGAATGTTCTCACCCTGCCTCTGCCAGTGCAACGGTGAGGGGCAAACAGAAATGAGGTTTGGGTGTCTGGGTAAGTCCTTACTGGGGGATGCCAGAGAATGAGAAAGCATTAACAGGGGCCAAACTCTGATGCCCATATTCCAGTGAAATGTTGAATTTTGCCTGAGTAAAGACTTAGCCAAGGGTCTCATTCTCTATTGCTTTGAATACTGAATGCCTCCAATATTTGTGCAACCTGGGTGTCAAGAGCCCCCAGTCTGAAGAGTAAGGCTTGATTTGAAACTCAAAGGTCCAGACCTTGTACCAGTGAAAGGCCACGTCTGCAAGCCATAGCCTCTGCCACCATGATTTCTGGCAGCAGCCATCACCACCAAACTTCCAGAGCACATTCATGCATGCTTTTGGAAGTGCCACACAGCTCTGCTACAGCTCACAGGACACAAACGATTCCCTGGGAAGGCACCAACTGCTGAGTGGGTTGTGGCAGCCAGCTGAAGGGGTGGGAGTGTCTTCATGAGCCTTCTGCCAGCTGTCAGGTAGCAGCAGAGCTCTTACTCAGCTTGGCAGAGGTGGAGTTATTCTGTTGTTGGAGTGGAGGGTGCTGCTGGTACAGGGGGCCATAAACTACACTCAAAGTTTTGCAGCATGGACTAAGCCAAAGGAGGAGAGCTGGTAGTAGAGCTGGAGAGAGAAGTGATGTGGAAGCCAGTTTAGCTCCTCCTAACAGCAATAGTCATAGTATTATAGTATCATAGTGCTTAGGGTTGGAAGGGACCTAAACAGATCATCAGGTCCGACCCCCTGCCCCAGGCACGAATGGGTGCCAGGGTCATATCACCCCAGCCAAATATCTGTCCAGCCTCCTCTTGAAGACCCCCAAGGTAGGAGAGAGTACCACCTCACTTGGGAGCCCATTCCAGAGCCTGGCAGCCCTAACTGTAAAGTCATTCAGGTTAAGCACATTGCCATGTTTATCATGATAAGATGGCAGCTTTTTCCCCTGAAGGTGAGTAGACCAGGAAACCTTAGAGATGTGAGGGGACAGATTAGTCTAGACAGAACAGTCAGTTCCCAATCACAGAAGGTGTGCCTACTTTACAGGGCATTTCCAACAGCCTCTTGTCCTCAGCAACTCTTGGGAAGGGAGGGGAATAGAAATGTGGGCCTTGCTTCCAAGCAAGAGAGACATTTTAGATGAGTCCTCAGCTGCTTAGTGAAGGATTCTGAGATACAAGAGAAGCAGAGCTTGCTAATATCTAGCCAGTCTGCTTTCCCCACTAGATGTATCAGAACAGAACACTGTGTATTCAATTCAACCCCATGTTAAAGGTATCCAAGAGGGAGCAGAATGGCTCACCTTCCTTTTTCCTGGATCCCTAGTAGGGGGAGGGTGGGGAATGTATGCATGAAAGGAGGAGTGGGCTTCAGCAAACCACCTGCCCTGGGGAGAGAGCTGAATGGACCCAGTGGAGTTTGCTTGGATTCATGCCCATGGGCACAAAGTAGAATTCAACAGTGAGTAAAGCTCTCAGGCTCTGGCCTGCTGACTTCCCAAGAGTTTGCCTGGGCAAAGATGGAGCCAACAGTGTATTATTATCAGATGATCTGACTTAGAGAACTCACTTTATCTCACTTAGTCCTGAGCTGTCTGCCCAGACCCAGCCAGAGTGGGTGGTGTTCCTCAGTCCAATCCAGGACTGTTCTCTGGGGATCCTCTTGAACAGGTTCTAGGAGAGAGAGAAGAGATGCAAAGGAGACCATAGAAATCATCTTAAAAACTGAATTCTTGCTGAGCAAATCAGGGCAGGAAATACCACAGTGAAGACTGCCTGTTCTTCCGCAGGGAAGCACTGATGGCTTGTCTCCTTCCTGCTCTCCCTCCCATGTGCTCCCCAAATCCTTGTCCCTAAGGGTTCTACAGCAGGAAGCAGAGGGGATCATGGAGTCATAGCAAATTAGGATTGGAAGGGACCTCAGGAGGTCACCTAGTCCAAGCCCCTGCCCAAAGCTGAACCGTCCCCATGGGTACTGGCTGACAGGCAGCTTGGCTCAGCTGGGCCCATCCTAAGGCATATAGTGTTCATGGTGTTCAAGAGAAACACTCAGGCTTTGAGGTGTCCCAGTTCAATATTGCACAGGATGTTTCCAGGACACTGGAGCCTGCCTACCCCTCTGCCACAATAACTGTCATGAATAAAACAACCCTGCCATCTTTAATTTGGGGATTAGCGGGCAACCCTGTCCTGTCGCTTCTGCTTCACACGTGTCACTTGTGAAAAAATGCCATCACCCACTTTCAGGACCATGTCCAGGGAACTCCCAAGACTAAGACCCTGAGTGCATCTCTGGGACCTCTGCCAACTATAAATAAATGACCTTTTGTTGCAAACAGCACATGTAAAAGAGGAATGAGAGGGGCCTGACTTCTCAGAGGCAGTCTTAAGATCAATGGGGAGGACATGTAGACATGCCCAAGGTGAACTCGGGATACTGCACACCCTACAATGTCTCCAAAATACAGCCCTACATTTAGAGCTCTTCAGCAAAATCTGACTGTCTGAGGGGCTCTGAAAGAGCTGTTTGGGGAGCGTAGCACTGGGATAGCAAAAGCTAGCAGGGCAGAAGTGAGAGGCCTTGGCAGAGC